TGAGATATCGTAAGACCATCGACGCGTGAGGATCGATCAATAGTGATAGTATCGATTGCTCATCTCACAATTTGATAATCGATCATAGGTGTCGCTGAAGTATCTACGGGAAGCCATAGACCAGCAGCTGCGACAGCGATCGGAGATTGAAGTGGGAGGCATGCTGATACTAGTGAATGCCTATAGTAGTGCTACTGCTAGGTGTTCCTCCAGCAGTGCATTGATGACGTTAAGAACGAGATATCCCTCTATCAGAAGCAACAGTGTCAGAGAGCTACTGGTGACCAGAGGCTCTCCCCTGGGTACTCAGGAGAGGGTGAGGCCTTCGTCCAGAGGCTACCATTCTGTTATCCTTATATGATAGGTTCTCTGGGACTTGGGGATGCTACGCCCATGACCGACAGCATTGACACTGTCCATGACTGTAAGGCAACGCCTTGTGTCCTTGTTCCCAATGTCGCTGTAGTGGACCGGGAGCGGGCGTTGGAGCTGCTGCTGGGACAAGAGAGGATTGTGCAAGTCCTGCACCAGAAGGTGAGGGCCGAGAATCATCAAGTTGATTTGACGATTCCTCAGATTATGGAAGGCCGCGATCGCCATGATCGATCGATTTATGATAACCTTGCGCATGAGCCTAGTGGAAGCTTCCCATCGCAAGTAGATCTGACGGATTCGGACCCCCTGCCGTCCTGGTGGAACGATGACTCTGATGAACTGGGGAATCAATAGTTACCATGGCTAGTGCTCATCAACGGTCGTGTCTACTGTACTTGATCGTTGTGTTCTACGGAGTACAGTGAGTAAAGCCGGCTGAAGGGACTACTGCAATACTGAGGGTTTCGGGTTTCGGGTTTCGGGTTTCGGGTTTCGGGTTTCGGGTTTCGGGTTTCGGGTTTTCGGGTTTCGGGTTTCGGGTTTCGGGTTTCGGGTTTCGGGTTTCGGGTTTCGGGTTTCGGGTTTCGGGTTTCGGGTTTTCGGGTTTCGGGTTTCGGGTTTCGGGTTTCGGGTTTCGGGTTTCGGGTTTCGTG